TTCCCAAAAGTTGTTCTCATCCAAGCACCAGTGGACTGCAGTTTCGACCTTGCATCGGTCTTATCAACACTCTCAGCGGGAGTCAAACCGCGACAGTTCAGGATGGGAGCTTGACACGCTAACCACTTGGCTACACTGCCACGAGGGCCTTTTGGATCACAGGGAAAAATTTGAATTTTCAAGGAAGGCCAGGGCTTTATGCCAAATCATATTCTTTTGGTGGAATTGTCAATGAAGCACACGAATAGCTGCTATAACAATAGACTACTATTCTTTATTTTTCGAATTAAGTACTGTTTTTGTGATTACCAGTAAATCAGTAATATGAGATGTATTCACACAATTTCGTTTAAAGTGATGAATGACTGGTGAAGAAGAATTTTCCCACAAATGGAAGGTGTTGAGCTGACGTTTTCAGCTTAAACGAAATTGGGTTAATACATCTCATATCACTGATTTAAACTAAACCAACACTTTTTGGTCATTCTTACTGATAAATAAATTCAAACTAAGTTATCAAAAATAATGTGTTGCTGTGGCTACCAGTACATTGGATAAATCATTTGCTACCTCAGTCACATAGTAACTGAACTCAAACGACTGTATTAGTCATTGTTTCGATTAGTCAAAAGGTCGCCTAGCACGTGAAAAAACTTGAAATAAGATAGATTGGCCCTAAACCCTAGATGTTTTGCACATTGCAATTCTACTGTAAATAATAGAGTTAAAAAATTTCGCAAATTGGTCATATTGGTAGTAAGACTTTGAGGGACGCCCTAGTCCGGATACCATTGTATGCATAATAATTACCAGAATCGGACCGTGGACGTGTTACATTCCCAGGCGTTTCGCCGACATCGTAGTCGGCATCGTCAGTGAGCCTTACACGTCTTAGCGCCACACTACAATTCGTCAGAGACAATTGAAATCGATCCTGTGACCAATTATCTGCTAAACAATCATGATATCTCTCATTACGCCCTCGGCTAATCAACAATCCAATATCCTCTTATCATGCCTTCACTATCCTTATTTCTTACTTGCTTACTTTAATGTGGTATGGTGTGTCTTTTTGAGCGGCTTTCATGAGAACTCTCCGCACTCCACGCTGGCTTTCTCATCTCCCACACCCTTGTGCTGGGAATGTTGATGACAGTCTGCCATATTGTTACGCAGTCCTCCTTCCCTTGTTCTTATCAGAGTCTCCCTCTTGTCTCGTAGGATGCATCAGATATCTCCCTGATTCAAGTATTTCACTCGAC